TTTATAAGATATGAGTTCTTATAGGGCATGACTGGTGGGGTCATGTGGGTGTGTGTTGGCTAGAAATGGAAGTTATATACTAGTTAGATCTTGTCCATGTTCTAGGATATCTAGGAATGTAAGTTCTATGGGAAGTTAGAACTTGTCCGTTCTCTAGATGGCGCTGGGAAATAGAGGTTTTATGTGAGTTAGGATCTGTCTATTTCCTAGGGAGAGTCTGGAAAAGAAAGTTTTATGCGAGTTAGAACTTGTCTTTTCCAGTGACTCTAGCAGGGAACACCTTAGTGATTGGATTGTTTTGGATGACCTAATGATTGGTCATGGTTATGATGACATTCCAGGTGATGGGATGTCACAAGGACCACGAGAATTGATTCTGGTCGACCGATACTTATGAGGCTCGTTACAGAAGATGCTCCAGGGAACAAGTGAGGTTTCCTGCATATATCTCGAGGGGACAGGTGAGGTTCTCTCTAGGGGACAAATGACGTATCATGAATGCTGATAGCTTGACGGACTGTGTGTCCCAAAAGTTAGAGGGGCATGGCGCATACCGATAGCTTGAAGGACGGCTGTCCTGAAGGTGGGAGGGGTATGTTATACACCGTGATCTCTAGGGTGACGACCTGGGGAGTGTTAGGGGTGTATATATATATATACGAATATGAGCATAGCGTCTGTGTTGTGATTATGAATATGAGACTGGATAAGCTTCGGGGATCGGAAAGGGTCTCAGGTGGTGTTGGCCAGGTGGGTCAGGAGTGTTGATGTGGATGTAACGTCTAACTTAGGGTTTCTGCTTTTGTTTGGGACTTTGGTTCAGACGACCCTAGTAAACATATGTAGCATCTTGGTCATGCATGTTCTTGTTTAATTGTTGCGCTATCAATTGGTCCAATTCTAGGTCTACCGTTGGTCAGGCATGTTCTTGTTTGATTGTTGTGTGATCAATCGGGCCGACCTAGTCCGGATAAAAAAACGTTACATTCTGGGTGTTTTCGGGTGAAGCAGATCACGTTTCGGACGAGAGTGTTAACCTTAGGGAGGATGGTGTTGCGT